GGAATCCACAAAGACTTGGTTTTCGTAAAAATAAATAAAACTTTAGACATTTTCTAAATAATTACTATATTTTTTTTATATATAATATATAATATATAATATAGAAATTATATATTTTCTATATAATATAAATAAACTTTAATTAATAAAAAACAACTTTATATTATTTTAACAACGATGAAGGGCAAAAATCCGTACAGATATATGAATAGATTTTTACTATATAAGGTGAAATAATTCTGTACAATCAATTCTCCCTAATAATCTCAAAATCACCGAAAAAGTTGATGAAACTGTGGATAAGATGCATAAGGATCATATCCAGGGTCCTAACTGTTTTTAATAATAATAGTTTTTTATTTTAAAGATTTATTTATTTTATATTAAATTAAGTGTAATTTCATTTCTAATAACAATATTCAGATATTTTAAAGATTTATTCTATTTTCCTGCTTACATCCAAGTAGTTTAACATTTTTCTTTTATACATACAAAATATATAAGAGATTTTTTTGGGATTTTGTGTGTAAAGACAAATGTAAAAGTAAATGCCATTGGGTTAATAATCTGATATCGTATATTTTATTTATTTTTTGTTTCCTGAACAAAGAACATAAAAATTCGCGGTTTATTATGCACGTGGGACTCGCAGATAACAAAACACAAGGCGATATGAAAATTGTCGCAGGTTAGATTCTCACCTGCCATAGACTTCTGACCTTCAGGCACGTAGTATTATGTGGAAGTGAAGCATCACCAAAAGTGTGACTATTGCAAAGATGGAGAAACCTTTTTTATTTGGCATTTAAAAGACAAAATCTTTTACACATTTTTTGAATGTTGTTTATATCCTTACGCTATTTGACTTTAGTTGGCATTCAAGTTTCCATTGTTGCCAGCTTTAGATTACGACATACAACCCAAAAAAAAAAACAAAAAAAAAAAAAATAAACGAAATAAAATGATGATAATATTCTTTAATACCTTTAGGACGTTTCTTGAATAAATAATTTTTTCCTTATTATTATTTTCTTCATCTTCTACTGTTTATTTCTATATTCTATACTTTTATTTTTGGTATTCCATTTTGTTGATAGAAAACACCTGCTCAACTGTTAAATCTGTTGCAATCTCAATTATTTCCTTACGGCAAATAGAATACGAGGGCGGTGTGATAAGTCAGTGACTTTTTGAATAAAACAAATTTTTCTTTTCGGCAAATAAACATTTTATTTTTCTATATAATCACCTTTTAGCTCGATACATTTAGTTCAGCGTTTTTCTAATTTTCTTATTCCCTCCAAATAATAGATTTTCTCAAAGTTTTCTCAAAATACGCATTTGTTTCGGTAATGACTTCTTCTCTCGACTCAAATCTCTTAACACCCAGCCATTTCTTTAGGTTTGGAAATAGTCGCTAAATCTGGAGAATATGCTGGATGGGGAGCAGTTTGTTTCTTAATTCGTGGATTTGGGAATATAATGCTTAATTAGCACACGAAATTTACTTTTTTCCATTTTCGTAAAAATTCAAGAGGTTGTCTGCTTTGAACGGCTATCAAACACCAATTGAACGACGTAGCTTGCTGAAAATTAAAAAGTTGCCCACTGGTAGATTACAGCTGACGGCAGCACTGCAGCACTGACTTATCAAACCGCCTTCGTATACATAAAAAAAAATTTTAAATAAAGTTAACATGCATTGAGATAGGTTAAGATGCAATTAAAACGTAATGTTGATTTTCAATTTCCTTATCAGATTATTAAGTCAGTATACGGAATTGATGTTCGCAAGCAAGTGTTTGAGATAATTTGATTTAATATAACACATCTGTATGTATGAGAATTATACAAGTTTTGCATAATTTATGTGTATATAAGTATATAATTTAATAATATTTTATTTGCATAAAATATTTATTTTTAATCAAGCAAATAATTTAAGATTGACTTTGCTTAATTTAAGCTTGAAGCCAAATTTGGTACAAAATCTTAACTCAAAATTTAATTTAATTTTTGAAAAAAAAAATATATTTTAATGAAATCCGACTAAATTTGGTTTAAAAGAATTTTTAACTATTATTTCCAATTTAATTTTATTTAAATTTTATATATTTATTTATTTAATTTTATTGTAATGAAATTCTTTTTGGCATTTATTTCTTTAATAAAAATATGTATGTTGATATCTCTTTCAATGAAATTTCTTTCTGTGTTTTTCATTTATCTTTCAACTGTAAATACCATCTGGAATAATATACATTTTAATTGCATAAATTTATTACAAAAATCCAAAACTACACAAGATTACCCTTAGACTTTCTTAAGAGTTGTGTACTTGTCTGTACTAATTGTACATTGCCAAAACAAGAAATGACTTAAGAAGTTCATCGCAAAAAGTAAACTCTACTTATAGCTTATTGTAACTTATTTATAAAGTATATAAAAGCATCTCCATATAAATCCGTGCAGTGATAAATAAACATATAAACTATTTGTACAATCTCGCTAACATATAATAATTAAAGTGTACTGGCGCCGCCGGAAGTAAGACAAAATTAGAAGAAACTTGCAAACTTCTAAAACAAAAACTTTAAGAAAATATTTCCGAAAATCATATACAGTATCTTACTTATTCCCTGGCATTGAAAGATACAAATTCGTATAGATATAAAATTTGGCTAAAAATGTATGTTGTATCAGTAACTTTTAAGATCAAAACTCATAGTAAAATAAGTTTTGTGCTTAGCAGATAATGGATGTTACTCATTGGCAGTCGAGAGGGAAACTAATATATAAATAAGTTAATTAGTGCCAAATTTGTGGCTAATAAGAATACAAAAACACAAAAAAAAAGAAAACAATTCATTAAACAATGAAATACAAACTTTAGTTAAACTTAATGTATTTATCAGATTAAAGTATACAGTATCTATGCCAATATATCATTACGATAAGCGTGTTAAATATTATACAGAAATTTCAGTTTATTTTATATTATATCATTAAACTGCATGGTAACAGTTACCAAATATATACATACAAATACATTCGCTATTGTTTTTGTTATAATGAAACAATATTGTTTCTTTAAATAAAAATTAACTGTAAGTTAATAATAAATTAATAATATATGTTTAATGCATCAGAATGTGAACGATACAGCACTATCCTTACCTAACATGGCCCTAAGCAACTGTCTTCAATTCTCATAGTTAAAATTATTTTGTCGAGGTGACTCTAATCAATAAAAGTCAATAAGCAATAAATTGGCAATAAAAATAGTTACAGAAAGCGTTAAAGGCTATACGTAAATCAACCAGTGAGTCTAGCACTGACATAATTATATTGGGGCCTATTTTAAAAGTCCTAATATAACTTTTTTTCAGTTCCCATGGGTGAAATCACCTTTTGCGAGGCAACTTAAATCAAATTGTTGAAATAAAAAAAATAAGAGAAAGAGTTGAAGATCATACCTAAAACAAACAGTGGCAAAGTTATATAGTACTCTATGGGAACTACTCTAAGGGCGAAAAAATCAATTAAATCTGATTAACGATATTTATGTGTTTCGTTTAATAAATCCAGATACTCGGTACAGTGAATGTATATATTATTATTAAATGAATATAATATTGAATAAATTAAAAAAAAATTACGTTGCTTATTATTAGTATTAATACATCATTTATTATTAAAATTATTATTTTATTTAAATAAAAAGTAATAAAATTCAGAAACGTTATTATTTATTGCATACTTTTAGGTAAGTGAAAACTTAATTTATTTTACAATAAAGATTGCAAAAAGATTGCAAAATAAGCAAAAACAAAAACAGTGTTGGCTAAGAGCTAAGATTTATAAATAAAAAATAATAAATTTTTTAAAACGTTTACTATTTAGAAACAAACTTTCAACTATTTAGTTTTGTTTCTATATGACGCTGAATGAAGTTCTGGTTGTGTTTATTACTTAGTCCTTGCAGTGCAATAGATAACCCGATAGATTTAAAAAGGTCCAAACTTAATGTTAAATCAAGCAATAGTAGAAGTTTGCCTATCGTGATTTCCTGATCAAACTATATACTTGTCGTAATGCTTAACATAAAATCTCTTGTACTTTTATCGATCATACGGCCTCAGGTTGATATTTTTCTTGAGGTTGGATCATAGTGTGACTCTTAACCTATTTACCAAGTCTTGATTACCAAAGTCTCGTGTCGCATTTATATCTAACTTCACTTCAAACCTGTGGTTGTTTAGTTGGATCGTTGCTACAATACAATTAATTTTTATTCACTGTTGCTAACTGCCGTCTTCTTGCGACAACATTTTAATATCCTGATATTTTTGGAACTACGAGTATACTCCTACCAAAATAAAATCGGTTGTCTATAACATTGCCACGCGATGTGACAAGTTGGCCACAACAATATGCTTCGGATTTGCAATTTTTGATTTCTCGTTGTCGGCACGAAGCATCTTATAGCTCTTTGGTAGGATGATATCACCTCCAAAGACTTATTGCTTAAATTTTTTGTAGGAAAGTTTTTTATCTGTATTATAACAGACATTCAAGTTATTGAAAGTGTTGTTACTATAAACTTTATAAAAAATACATATCAGCAATCATTTGTACTATTCAATTTATATTAATCAAGTTAAGAGTGCAATATATTATTAGTCTATTGCCTCATGAGACTCTGATTTGTCATTCAATATTTATTTTTCTATTGATTGTACAATAATTTATAACCCCACAAGTCTAAGTTGAAGTAATAACTACTTATTAAATAAGAAGAAATAAATCATTCGATAATTTTTATTTTTTATAAACTTATTTAATTGTTTTTATTTCATTAGTTTATTTCTTTATTTTTTAACAAATAAAAAAAAGGGTAAAAAAGTTAAACAAAATAAAAATTTCAGTCTATTTCTAAATGAATAAATACAAAATTCTCTTGTCAAGAAAAAAAAAACAAGAGTTTCTCTTTGAAGAAGAATTCGCAACTTCTGAAATTTTTTTTTCAAACACTTTAAGCGCGTATATCTTTATAGTGTTTCTCATCGTCATCCTTGTCCAGCTTAATGGAGTATTTGCCAATTAAGGAACCTTCAACATCAGCTTGTCCATCAGAATTGAATGTTGGACCATCGCCAATTTCTTTTGTATCTTCCTTAACTACACGGTATCCATTTTCATCAGCTTCATAGTGGACAGTGCGCATAACAAAGCCATCACGATATGAGTAACTGCCTTTGACCTTAGTACCATCACGTACTTCCTCACGTTGAATGGCACCATCGTTGATGTCATCCTCCACTTTTGAATTAAAAGCATATTGTGCATTTTCGTTTTGGTAACGTTCAAGCTCTGCCTTCTCAAGCTCTTCAGCTTCATCGCGACTCTAAAATAATAGAATAAAATTATTTAAATTAATTAATTACTTTGCATGTGTTTTAACTGTAAAATTTTTAGTGTAGTTTTTATAAATTTGGATGGAAGTATTAGTGGAAGTATTAAACTTTAATGTTTTTTGATTTTATTGTACATATTAAATTCATTAAATTCTTTTAATTATGAATATGAAAACGGTTAAATTTACCGTAATAAATAATTTTTTTTATATTATAATTATAAAAATTTTTTTTATAAAATTCTATATAAAATATAATTAATTAATTTAATTATATTTGAAATTTTTTTAAAAAATACGTCACAATATTTTCTTAAAAATTCCACAGATATTATCAACTGTTTAGATATTTTTTTTTAATTATATTATAATATTATGAAAACGAAAAACAAATTTTAATATTAACTAAAAATAATTAAAATAACTAAAATAAGTATAATAGGTTAAAAAGCTATTAACCTTAGAGTAGAACTTCTTATATTCGCTTGCAATAATAAAAGATACATCACATTTAATGTGTTAAAGCGATCTTCTTTTTATTTTTATATATAATAAATTCAAAGTTAAGAAAAAATTTAAAATTAAAAATAATCTCACACAAATCTAACATTTAAAATTATACAATCTTAATAGTCGTCTTTGAAATTGGTCCGAAAGATTGTAGAGGTCTTTGAACATATTCAGTTTGAAGTAATAATTGAGATTTTGTTTTTTATATATATAAGATGACTGGTTTTGTTATTATTCATAATTGTTATATTTATTTAATATTTCTTTTTTTTATGTCAATTTTGTTTTTTGTAATTTGTTTATATTGTTAACTGATATTTGCAATTAAAATGACAACTGTTTTGAGAAGTGATGTCACATTTTGAAATTTTTAATGCATATTCATTCCCTCAGATTTGCATAAATAATATGCATGTTAGCCGAGTTGCCAAGCTCCATCTGAACTTCAAAATAAAAACAACGAAGTTTCATAATATTGAATACAATAGTTTACTTAGATACTCGTACACTAAGATCTTATCAACTCACTCTGTACTTGTAAACTGGAAAGAAAAACAAGTTTGATTTTTTGGGATGGTTCAAAATTTTATGTTACGTGTTTACCGACTAAAGACGGGATCGGTCATGAAGACTGTGCAAATTTTTTGTTGAATTATATCTGTTAATTTGAAGTTTAAAAATGTCTTTAAGCATATATTATGTATGTAGCATAATAAATATATACTTAAATATATACTTAAGAAAGAATAGTTGAATAATTTTAAATTAGTACATGCGCGCAGTTAGACCGATTTTGAATGGCGATTACGTTTAAAAAAGATAATTTATATTATACAATAATATATATAGAATGTGGTCTCCTTTTAGAAATAAATCAGAAGTTCAGAGAACACCTATTTGGTTCTATAAACTTTCTCGTGTCATTAACATAAATTGAAAAAGTATTGATTTTCAGTTACCACATGTGTCTAAATAAGATAAACTAACTATAGAACTATCTAGATTTATTAAGACCCAAAAAATGTACTAATAAGTCATTATAACTCGGGTTAGTATAAATATTAATAGATCTAATTTCATGCCACGACACACATATCGTTTACCATTTATAACAGAACAAAGAAATATAGCAAGACAGAACCATACACTATATGATATAGATATGTATTGACAGATGGCAAATTGTGATTTATCTGCAAATGGGGTTAAATCGAAAAGGTGTAGGGTTAAATGACAGCATTAATTTTTAAAAAGTATTGTGTTTGAAATACAAGCACGTAGCCGGGGATTTAAAGGGTGAAACCATCGAAAAGAGTTGGATTCTATATGCATACATATCTTGTTTTTAATTAATTCATCATGTCTTCATCGAATGGGAAGAAGAGTGTAGTAAATTAAGCATTTTATTTGAAAACCATCACTCATTCTGAATTTCATCTATATAATAATAAGTATATATTTATATACTTATAATTTTTTAATCTTTTTTATATAATGCAGCTGATTCCTCGAAAATTTTTTGATTTTTTCTCACCAGTTCTAAAATTTGTTCACATATGATTGTACATAATTAAATATTTATAATAAAATAATATATATATTATAGAAAAAACGAGTGAACATCAAAATATCTAAAAGTATTTGAGTACGTCCTTTTAATATTAAAATATTTAATATTTATAATAATATATAAATATATTATAAAAAGAAAGAGAACTTCAGAATATCTGAAAATATTTGAGTATGTGATTTTAATATTAATACATTTAGTATTTATAATAATTTATAAATATAAAAAATATTAATAAATAATATTATATTATTACCTTCAATATTTTATTACTCCTTCCTTAACTTACTACTTTCATAAAAGCTTTGACTTCTGAATAAATATTATTACCTACAAGATTTTAGTATTACTTTCTTAAAGATGTTATAAATAGTTTAGTTTTTGGCAATGTCAATATATTTATAAAAAGATTTAATTTTTTTTTAATTAATTAATTCGTAAGCAAAACAAAATAAACACAATTTTCTAATATCGTTCAACATTAGTTCATACACATCTCATGAGTTGCTTATACCGGCTATAGTTCACCAAGGTTTTCGCGAAACTACTTGATGTCTGAGGTCAATAATACACGTCAATAAACAGTCAACAAATAAGCGGTTTATTTGCCGCACTGATTTTAGTCGCATTTGTAAAGTGAACGAGCGAAGAAGTCTTGTGAAATCTTAATAATAACAACAAAATGGGTTTGTTTATAATAATAAATAAATTAAAAAACATTATAAAAAATAATGTTCCTCTTAATATTATATATTAAAATTCTTGTATGTTTGCTTTAAATTTCAGTTAAGAAAATAATTATTTTGGCATTGATAGTTTCCTGCTTGGCATTGGCTTTGGCAGCTGGTAAGTAAAGCAATAATTTGCAATTATAAATAAATTTTTTGCATAAACAAGTTATGGACTTATCGAAAACAATTTAGGCGACTGTCCTTCAGCTTCGAAGGTCTTGAATTGTACACCTAAGTGCTTGCATGACAGTGAATGCAGTTCCGTTGGCGGTAAATGCTGTCCTAATTTATGCAATGCACGCTCCTGCGTACAACCCAATTTACTAGGCAATTCTGGCGGCAACACCTCACCTTTCAACAAAAACTGTGAGTATAATTATATATATAAAATAATTTTTTTTTATATTTCTTATAAGCCCATTGAGTTAAGTTTGTTATTTATTGTAATTATTATTACAAAAAAAAACCAAAAAAATGTGAAAAAATAAGTTTTAATATGTACAGTTTAAATTTCATTTAATAGCCTATACCGCTAATTAATTTGAATGAAATTTTTTTAAATTCTAAGTAAATTTATTACTAGAAAAATTTGCATAATTTGTGTAATTTGTAAACTTATTGCATTTAAAAGCTTGCGGTCAGACTTCAATTGAACCCGTACTTTAGAATTCCAGTTGCAATTCTGCGAAAAACTATTTTAGGTAATTTTACAACTAGTCCGATTGCTAATTTATTTGCAATTTAATTGGAAATGTATATACTATCTATATATAGTTTTATTTACAGTTTGTAATAATTGATTAAATAAGCAATAAATGTTTAGATCATAACCTATCCTATAATAAAAGATAAGCCGCAAATAATAATAATAATAATTTCGGATTAATACTAAGTAATTATTTTGACCGACATGATAGCGCAGTGACAGAGATACGACACATATGCTTTCGGATCAAATTCAACTAAGAACCTTAAAAAAATGCTTGGTGAATATACCTTAGTAATAGAGTTTTTAAACAATAATTAGATTTACAAAAATGACTACTAGAAAATTAACTAGAATGATAGCTCTGTATAGTTTTGCAAGCGGCCAATAAGTCAATAGTAGTTTTATATATATTTTTGCATATAATGCATGATATGTATTAAGCATATACATTTCAGTCCCATATTTTACCGCTACAGATCAATAGATCTATGCATGACTTACGCCCAGCTAAATTATTTTAAATTAATAACAAAACCATACAAAAAGAGTAAAGACATTTTTATAAATATAATTATATATTTATATATTATACTAAACCGCACTTTTATAGAAACTTTTTCATTTTTGTATTAAAAATATATATACTATATATTTATATATAGTTTAAATCAGTTTATTTTCATTACATTTTAGTTATATGTTTTATATTCATATATTTTTTAATTTCTTTAATAATAAAATATTTATATAATAATCAGTTTAATATATAAAATAAATATAATATTTATTTGCTTTTCTAATAAAATATTACTTATTTTATTTTATTTATTTTATATATTTATAAATAAATAAAAATAAATACAAATTTATTTCTACTTTGTGCATTTGTATTAAATATTTTATTCATTTATAAATTTTACTAATTTTAAACTAACTTTTAATATTTAAATTATTTCGAAATAAATAAGTAAAAACAAATAAATATATATTTAATCCTATTTTATATATTTGTGTATATATGTTATTTATTTCTAAATTTTGCTATCATAAAATACATGTCATTTATTTTATATATTTATAAATAAATAAATAAATTTATTTTTATTAATAATAATAATAAATTAAATGAATTTATTTATTTATTTCATATAAATAAATATATCTTTATTTCTACTTTATATATTTATATACATATTATATTCAATTATAAATTTTACTAGTTTAAAACTAATTTTTATATATTTTATACATATCTAAATAAATAAATAAAAAGAAATAAATATATATTTATTTCTATTTTATATATTTGTATATATATATTATTTATTTATAAATTTTGCTATTACAGAATAAATGTTATTTATTTTCTATTTTATATATTTGTATATACATTTTATTTAGTTCTAAATTATTGATTAACAATTAATTTATTTATTTTTTACTCTATATAAATAATTTAAAATAAATTTGTATATATACTTTATTTAGTTCTACATTTTTAACTTAAAATATATTAATTTATTTTCTACTTTATATAAATAATTTAAAATGAATTTATTAATTTTTTATTTATATATTTTTATATATATATTCATTCATTTATAAATATTGCTAATTTATAATTAATTAATTTATTTAATTAAATATAAATTTATATTTATATTATATTATTAGCTATATAAACTTTATTTATTTGTTTATACATTTAATTCATTTATAAACTTTTCGTTACATAAATATATATAAATATATATAAATATTGTATTTGTCAAAGATGTAAATTTCTTATTATTATTTTCTTAGTATTTATTTATTATTTATTTTTATTATTTTTGTTTTTCACATTATATTATTATATATATTAGTATATAAATTCGTTGAAGACGTAATTTTTGGCAATTATTTTTATTAATTTTTAATGTTTTTATTTTTTTTATAATATTAATATTTAAATAATATATTAACTTTTTGTAAATATTTTCTAATATTTAATTAACTATTAATTTTTATTATTTTTTTTTTTAATATCTTCACAGCTGCCGCTTCTGGTTCCTATTGCGGCAATGTAAAGTGCAGCACTTTTGAAAAATGTGAAATGGATCGTTCGACTAAACGTCCAAAATGTGTGCGTACTTGAAAACAATGTAAAATGAATTTGTAAAATTCATTAAAATAACAAAACACGAATTTAGAGAATTTAATATGTAAAGTAAATGTTTCTAATATAATTACAATAAAAATAAAAAATTAAAAAAAATTATTCAACACTCACAACTGGCACAGCAAATGCTACACTCAAAAGACTCAAGACCAAGACGTATTTGAACATTTTGACTATATATATTTTTTTTTTTTTCAATAAAAATACTATTATATATCACTAATGAATTGTACTTGGTTATTGTAGTTGGTACTACGGAACGATACGCGCTTATCAAGTTAAGGTTTTGCTATGTGTCCAAAACGAGCAGCTTTGCGCGCTTTTATACAAGCTCTTGAAATCCGCTGCAGCCACACCAAAGATCAAAAAAAAAAGTAAAATGCGAGCAAGATCACACGCAATCCATGTGCCGAAATTGCATCGCTGCTCATACGCCCAAAGTTTATCAACTTCATAATTATTGACTTCTCTATAAACTCACAGAAAGAAGCGATCGAATTCGAAAAAAAGACTTACAATCTCATTGCTGTTGTTATACAAGTTTTATTTATTTTATTTTGATTTTTATTTTTATCTTTAGTTTTAGTTTTGTTTTTATTGTAGTAGTTTTTGTGAACATATTTTTTCAACAATTCCAAATTCATTTTGCAATCGACAATTGCAGAGAGTCATGTTCACCGATCATCCATAGCAGCTGCAGAGACCCTACCCATTTTTTTCTTTACGATTTCTTTGAAGATATTTTTCTCTTGCTTTCGTGTATCTTCAACTTTCATGCAACATGGAAATACCAAGATATGAAATAGAGACTAACAACGTTTTTTTTTTTTTTCTTATTAACTAATTACACGTAAGTTTCTGTAGATAGTGTGTTTTTTTTTTAATTTATACAATATATAACACTTTTTGTAACAACACAATTCGTAATATCTATTTGGACACAATATCGGTATCAGAGAAAAAAAAAAATACAAAAAAAGTGGTAACTTAAGCCCTTAAAACATAACACAAGAAACGCGTACGTTGACTTTGTATGGCATCGATTTCCAAAGAAATAAAAAACAACACAAAAAAAATTATACTCAAAAAAAAAAAATTTTGATCCACTTTTATTATGTGTCTTGGATCAATTGTTATGTAACATGGCTCAAGGTCAACTGGCAAATGCTGTTGTTGTTGTTGTTGCTGTTATCGTTGATGCTGCTCCGGTTTGGAGCCATCACACTTTCGAGTGGCATCACAACAGGTTTTCTGCATTATTTAAAAGCCTCAACTGCTTTTTGGCACACAACTTGATTTCTTGACGGCAACTCAACGGTTTAAGGTGAATTAATTTGATCAAACACGTCGATCATTTCACGTCGTACACATTAAATGTACATTTGTAATGAGCGGATTCAAATTATTAGTGGTAAAAGTATGGATTAAGAGGATCACAGGAAGAAGACACATAAAGGTATAGTTGACATTAGACGGTATATAATATAAATATAGAAACTCAAAGTAATTCGATCAATAAAACGAACGTAAATAGGATCATGAAAATGATCGTAAATAGGATCATGAAAATGATGGTTAATGGGATCATGAAAATGATCGTAAATAGGATCATGAGAATGATCGTAAATGGTATCATAAGAATGATCGTAAATAGTATCATGAGAATGATCGTGATATGGGATAATGAGAATGATAGTAAATAAGATCATGACAATGATCGTAAATGGGAGTATAAGAATGATAGTAAAAGGTGATGAGAATGATCATAAATGCGATAATGAAAATTAATTAAAAGAATTAAAAGGACTAAATCGATTGTATAGAATAAATTCTTTAATTCTTAAATTACTTCATTATTATAGATACTTCAAAAAAAAGTTTAATTACCAAAAATGATGATCTCTAGATCTTCTTTGCTAAAATATTACGTATGGAAAATGTAATTAAATGATATAACATTTTTCAGCTAAAAAAGAAACGAATAAAAACGTGTTCAAAGTTCAATGTAATTATTATTGGATTAAAAACTGTTCTATTTATGAAACAATCAAATATTGGGATTGCATTAAAAATTCGGAGAGTTTTTGCAGTTTGAAGCACTTACTATGGTGCTAACACTTATGATAACAATAGTCGAAACAGATTTTTAAATTTAAACCAGATTTTTATGTAGCCACCAAAAGCCTCTCCCGAGTCGTTTTTCGAAACGTTAAAACGGAAAGAAATCCCAGAGAGACAAACCCGATGGGTTTTCTGTGATACCCATATTGTTCTTAGTCAAAAACACTTTACTAAGTATAGTAGTATGTAAAGGTGCGTACTTTAGAGTGAAAGTGTATGACAGATGCATCAATCTCTGATGTAGCTATGAAAACAATCTATGAAGGCATCACCAAGTGGTAAAACTTGAAACTCTCACCTTGTGGTAATTCTTGAAAGCGATGCATGGTGTTAATTTCCGAAAATTTTTGCTCATGTGTTTATTTTAGAATATTATTACCAATTGTAAAACTGGATTCGCTAGAAGCCTCACATCATTCCAGGTGGAGATGGCATTATATCTCAGTATATATAGGATTATCAGCTAGCAGACCAAATTCGAATGAAAAGCTTTTATTTAAATATATTAAGCATATATTTTATACCGTTTTTTAGACTGTTTTACCTAGATTACTTAGATTACTTAGACTAGTCTTAGCTCTATATTGCTAAGGAATGGTGCTTTCTTATAAAGATAAAAGTTTTGTCCGATCATAATTAATTTTAATTGTGAACCTGTTTCTTCCAGATATGTGTGCACTTAAATCTATTAGAGAAATTGAAAGAAAATATAAGCTTGAATGATATGAGACTTTATTGCAAATTTAATGGATCAAACATTCGACGTACTTTAAAGATGGTGCAACATTAATTCAAACATAAAGTACTTTCATAAGATTTAATAAGAGAGCGTGATATACTAAACTACAATTGATTATAATTATTAGATAATTTATATATAATTATAAAATGTTACAATTAAGCACATATATATTTCCTATAGAGACACCTTTTTAAAAAAAATCAAAACACTGCATTGACCGAAAGATAGTGATTTAGAGTAAAAATTATAGAATTGACTTAGATTTGTTTATTCGCAATATTAAATTATCCTATTAAATAATGACAGTAATTGCAATATTAATTTGTTTATAATAACAATTATAAATAAATTGTTTATTATACGATAGGAATGATTTCTTTTTCTTACCCTTAGCTTTGGAATATTGATGAGATTACAATGATGATAATACGACCAGTACAACTAGTTGCTAAAACTAACAAGCAGCTTTTATATAAAGTACAGAATATAAATACAATGTAAAATTATTAATTATATAATATTACATAAAAAATATACAATTAACAAAAAAAACAATATGTTTGTATATTTCTTCCTTGCGTTAGATATCGAAAAGCACATTTAAAAGCTTCGTGGATCCTTCGTTTATAAGTCCATTAAGTTGACTATAACGAACCTCTAACAGTTTTTTATGTTCTCATCTACTATATGTAGTATGGTAGCTTCTTCAGGTCACGATGGACCTGATGTCTTTATTTTTTTCTTGAAAAGGTTGATTAACTTATGTATATGTACTGCGCTGGTGCAACCCTACTATTGCGGTTCGTGATTTTTCATTGCGGTCTTATAAATTTGGTACTAAACAAGGGATATTTTTCAATTGATAAGAATTTAATCGACATAAACAACACACTTTTTTTTTATATTAATTAAATTAGTTGAATTTGTGGCTGACCATACAGTTGTTTCGAATATACTCATCATTCATTAGCCATATACCCATCATCAGTGGTGTCGGAATTATTTCTTGTTTTTATTTATTCGTAAATAATTTTTTGAGACTGAAAAATAAATTGCAGAATGTGAATTTATTTTTAACTCATTTTAGCACAACTAACTTTAATTAATTGAATTATATCGATCAGTTTTTTAATTGATACCATAAAGTAATTGAAACCATATCAGAAAATATCATAAGTACTATTAGTTTACATATCTTTCATTCTTTTCGGCAGTAGAATTATGTATTAATTAGCAAATCTTTGTCAGTATATTTCTTAAACAATTTTTTACCTATCCGGTTGCTTTTATAATATTTAGTGAAGGAAAAACATCTTCTTATTAAAGTGTGGGTAGATCCCTTTTTGTTACCACACAACCGAATATCAGATTCTATTGTTTAAAACCACTCTCTGCTGTCGATAAAGAATAATGTTTTTCGAAAATTTTTATTAGAGATTTCTTTGGGACTCATTAGTTTGTATACTTCCATAGTGAAATTGCATAATTTTGGCCTGGAGATTATTTATTTTCCCTGGACTACTGATCTGAAAAGTTTTTTTATTTAAATACAATCATAAAAATTTAAAAATTTGAGTTTTGTGAAATTTCATAATATTCGTCATATTTCATTATGATATTACATATAATTTTTTCTTTTTAAACTTAACATATAAACAAATCGTTGACAACAAAAACAATACGACTTAAAAACATATTTACTCTATGATGTTAAATATTTTAAACAAAGTTCGATAAACCACTTAATGTTAGTAATTATTTGAAGACAAAAGGAAGGTCTTTTCCATAAATGGATGTATTAGTTGTCAGTTATGTCTTCGATTTTATGATTTTGAATAGAGATGTCTTTAAGTTTTATCATGAATTTTAGCATTGAATTATGGGTTAACTTTTTATTATTAAGTAATTTAGTAATAAGTCAGTAACAAGCAATCTTAAAATAATAATATTATAATTCAATAATTATATGTTGTATCTTTTTTAATCGCAACATAGCATCTTTACTTAAAATACTGATTATTTTATATTGCCAAGCAGTGCAGACATATATTACTCCGAGTCCAAATATATGTAGCTTTAATAAAGTTGCACTATATCTTAACTAATTTCAAATAGATTCCGTCTTTAGCTTCAGTAACTAATTTGTTCAATTTATATTGCATTGGAACACAAGTTTTTGATGTAGGCATAATACGATAGTTTCTTAATAACATTACCAAACCTATCATGATTTGCATAGTACCAAATCTTTTACCCACACATATACGAGGACCTTCACCAAATCCTAAATTAGCCATTGGATGACGTTTTTTCACCTCATCTGCAGAAAACCGCTCTGGATCAAATTGTTCTGGATTTGGGTATATTTCTGGATCATGGTAAATTGCATCAATAGGAACGATAACTAAAGTATCTTTCTCAATAACATGATTTGTATTAGGAATGGCATAGTCTTTTGTACATACACGTGTCGTAAGGGAAAACACAGAATGCAATCTCAAATTTTCTAAGCATTTTAATTGCATAATGTTATTTTAAGTAAAAGATATATTTTATAATACTTACCATTAAAAACTTGTTGCAAATATTTCATCTCATTCATTCCTTCATAAGTCAATTCTTCTTCATATCTTGTGAGAACTTTATTAATTTCGGCTCTGGCCTTATCCTGCACATCTTGATTTAATGCCAGTTCATAAAGACAAAAGCTCATAGCAGATGTGTTTGTTTCCACACCTCCAGTCAATAATGTAAATGCATGAGTGGCTATTTGATTCATTGATAAACGTTCTATTTTATCAGAGTTTTTTAACTCAATCAATAAGTTCATCATATCATTTCGTTGTACTTCGGTTTGTTCCCGGAATTTCACCATTTCATTAGAAATACGTAAGAAGAATTTTTGAACATTGTTGGAGTAATATGTTATACCCAATTTCCTTGACAAATCGGGAAAAATACTCATGAATGAGAAGGTTATTATATTGTGAGGTGGTTTAAATGACTCGTGTACCATTATTTTGAATTCAGCGTTAGGATTTTTCAGGCTATTACAGTTTAAACCAAAACCAATACTTCCAGCGACATCTATTATATACCGATTAATAAGACTATGAATTTCGAAATCTTCATTTGGAGTTGACAGTTGTTGTTGCTTTATAACTTTAATTAATTGATTAGAAACATCCACTGCAAGGGGGAACATGTGTTTTAGTTTTCCTGATGTAAAACACGGATTAAGTTCGTTACGACTTTTACGCCATTTTTCGCCTTGCAGGTATACTACATTCGCAGATAGTGGATCATTTCTCTCATTATAGTACATACCACGACTTGTAAAATATTCGAAATCCTTAATTAACACATTTTTAATAAGGTCGAAGTCTATCACTAATAACGAACGTCGTAAAAATAAATAAAATCCGATATATTTAGCTAAACCTTTGTATTTATTGTAATATTCTCGTAGTATCTGACCAATCGATTTCGTTTTTCCAAATTCCTGACAATTTCCAAGAAAAAATGATGGCTTAACGTGTAAAACACCGCGTTTTTCCCAATAGGAGTATATTTTACGTAGAAACATATAAATAATTGTACAACTACCGATAGTAAAGTATATTAAAAAGTAAAGTAAATCCATATTGATTATTTGCTTACTGACTGATAAATAATGAAAAATTTTAGAAATCAGTAATATTTATATATTATTGAATGGTGATTTGTAGGTACCAATTAAATATTCTAATTATCTTAAGTTATCTATAATAAATAAACTATAATCTATAATAAATGCATAAGAGAATAATATGAACAATTTTTTTTATTAATTAATACGTTATAAAGTCAAATGGAAATTATAGTAATTGCTAGTTATGTCTAGTAAAACAACAAAAATAAATATAAGATATAAACGATAGGGTTTCACCCGTTTATCGGAAATAATTACCAGGTAAATATATACCCAACTAAATAAACTGTACTTATCTAAAAGTGATGCGTTTGCGAACAAAACATAAAAATTATTGGAATTATTATTATAAATTTAAAAATAAAAATTTTCAAATTATCTGTCCCAAATCCGATAAGATGAGACATAAACAGAATCCAAAGCTTTTTGTGATTTTTCTATTTATTTGTTTAAAATAATTTTTTAATTTTCTTCTAAATCAACGCAGCGCTAGAAATGTTCATTGAATTTTGGGAACCAGTTTTTTTTTCTCTCTGGCGGATCTAATGGGGTAGTATCTAGGTCATATCCTATAATTCTTTATTTCAGTTTGTGGAATAGTTGCAACCAAACCAAACCATTATTTTATCAGAAATTACTATATCGTAAAGGGTTTTTGCGATGATGCATTATAGTGTAACAACAATCAACTCTCTGACTCTTGATATTTAAGTAGAACTCGTCAATTCCTGACCGAAATTATTGTAGAACTTTGTATATTTCAGATGACTTCACAGTGAATAATTATTGTTAAGTGAATAATTTTTATTTTTAATTTTTGCAGGCATAGTTAGAAAGCATAAACAAGTTGTTCTCTTTGGGGTTTAAGTTAGGCCTAATAACGGGTGTATGCAATAAGGAAATAATTTGAGCTCTTAATTCTCTTAATTTCTTTCTACCATTGTTTGCATTAACTTTATATAAATGAAACAGAATATATCCAAATTAAGTCCATTTCAGAAGTGAATCATAAGCAAAAGGGGTCGTGAAAATATTTTCGATTGCCATATTATCCGTTAGTCCGTCCTTCAAATTAATCGCTTCATAACTTATTTTAGAATGTAATATCAATTGACGGGGCAAGTAAGAGAATGTATGAGAAATACAGTATACATATTATATATAATATATATTTTATATATATATATATTATATATAAATATTTTTATAATATAACACAAAAATATATCACCGGGTGTACAGTAACAGAATTATCATGAAATATAATAAATCAAATACTCAAATTATATGATACAGAAATAATACAAGTTCTATTTTTGCTAAAAAAAAATCAACAGATATATACTACAGTAGTAATTAGTAATTAGAAATAGTTAGTTTGTTTTCATTTAAAATAACACGATATTTTTTTTTGTCAACATATACATTTATTAAACTTATTATAATTTCATTAAGTTATTAAATTTTTTTTTCGTTTACTGTTAATTGATTATATAAAACTTTTTTCCTTTTACAAAACCTTGATTTATTTTTAAATTCTCTAAGCCATTAATAATTTTCATCATTAAGTATTAAGTATGATTACTACTAGTATTCCAGAAACTTTTCTAGAACACTCGTACGTTTGATGTTACTTAAGTGTAAGTTATTGGCTTAGTATAGTAGTGAGTTTAAAATGAACCACCTGCCTACTATAAAGATCCATATTCTGTTAATACAGTTACTAATCAGTAGGAATAATTTTGCCTTGAAATTAAAACGTACTTCCTGGTTCTTGATATTTCCGTCGATTTCGTCGCTGGCTGAACCTAATTTGTTATAGAACTCCCAGATCATATTTTACTTTAACTGTTGAATCATAGAAAAGGGTCAGCAGTTAGCATTATTTTGGTTTTCTTCTTATGAAAACGTAATTTGTTTTCTTCGATGATTTCAAAATCATTTCTGATTAGTATGTTTTGTCGTCGGCTCACATTACCAGTCATAATAATAAGTAATAGCTGATAGAAACTAGACAGAATATGGGTGCCTAACAGGAAAAAAATAAACAGTTTTTGCAATATTAATTTTTTTTGTTAAACTTTTTCTACTTATGAAATATTTTTTTTTTATTTTTAATTCTATAATTTATTGCTTGTTTGCTAATAGCTCTTAACGTAACTAATTTTCTCTATTTAATATTGTGCACAAGTCTGTTTGTTTTAGAGATACTTAAGGTAACCTGATATGATCGTCATATGTAGGTTAGGTTAGGTTACTGGGGCCGTCCGAAGACGCACTTAGACCATAAGGTCCATTGTGATACTCTAAAGAATTTGACACCTGTCCCTATAACCAGTTGGTACTGGCCACAAAGCCATTGACACGAGCTATGGAAATATAATCTAGCTCTCTTAGTGAATTGAAAAAATGTGACCCTAAGTAGGAGAGTCTATGTCTTGCGAAAGCAGGAGACTGTAGAAGAAGGTATATTGGTGATTCCTCTTCATCACCCTCCATGCAATGTCCACAATGTAAGGAGGTCCTGATGTTGAGCCTCACGGCATGTCATATATGTAATCATATAAAAATATCCTAATGAAAGACAAAATTGTGGAATTAATGATTTCTGTTATCTGGGCACTTTGTTATTCTAGCGTGGTAAATTACTTGGACCGAACAAAAAGTGCAGTACAATCTCTTGATATATTACACATAGTGCTAGCTATATAGCTAACTATAAATAGTTGATTTAAAAATGAGTTAGCGTTTATTATTTACTATAAATCAAAGTCTAATTCTATGCAATAAAATTAATTCGGATCAGTAGTGGGAGCCGGGACACACATTCTGAAATTGAAAAAGTGGACTTCGATAGAAGTCAGCTGAAATAAGCAGCTGTATCACACCAAGATGATTGGCAAGATTAATCATCTGCAAGCAGTAGCAGGTCACACCGATGAAACTATTAAATGGCTAATAGAGACCCTATCGCGAAGTAATATAACGTAGACCCGAGGTAGGACAACGTCTCCAGGAATAAAGGGAGTGGTTTAATCTATACGAGTCGGGCACTCACCTTTCGGGGCGCCGGATTACGGTTAGTGCGTAAGCATTTCACTCCTACTTGTGGCAAAAACAAAAAACAAAAAAAAATATATATATATGTGGGACGCAGATCTGGCAACGCCAGCACACGAGCATAAGGAAGTAAAAAAGAAGAAACAAACGTAGTGTGGCAGTGCAGAAAGAAGACGTGTGAAGTAATGACGTGTGTGCGGAAGAACAAACAGTTTTTTTTCATTTATATATATTTTTTTTTGTAATTTAATTAATTAGTTTTGATTCTAATAAAAAGGAATCCTACGAATTGGGGGCTCAACAGGGATTTGAATTTCCGGCAATTGTGAAATTCAGTCTACACAATGACTTGCTTAAATGACTTCGTAAGCAGCAGCCTGCGCAGTAGCAGCAAAAACATAATAATAGCGTTGCATAAATTTATATACCAAGAAGAAGGTGATAGAAGTAATCGAAAGAGATTGAGAGAATTTTCTGGATTCGATTACGACGAAAATGACAAGGCGTATGCAAGCAAATGCGAATATATTAAAAATAATTTGACTGAACGTGATTTGGTTTCAATTTGTATTGTACTAAATATAAGTTATTGTGTTAAAGATGTACAACTGCACATATTTCGAAATCTACGTAAAAATTTTTTGTTGTCCGAAAACGCAAACGACGATGAATGTAATGACGAAGAAGGAGATGAAGAAGTCGATGATGATGATGACGAAGAAGGAGATGAAGAAGTCGATGATGACGTTGACAGTAAACGCACTTTCAGAGGCAATGAACGCGAGTTTAAAAAATCTCGTGACGATAATGGCAATAAAATGTTTGAAGTGGATGATAATAATAAAGCAGCAGCGTACACACGTACAAAATTTTTACAAAGAGAAGCACCAAAATTTGCAATGAACTTTCGCGATATAGAGGACTCAATTAGACCATTTGATGGCACAAATATCATTTCGGTAGAAAGGTGGATTGAAGAATTCGAGGAACAAGCTGCACTGATGTGTTGGGATGGGTTTCAAAAACTAGTGTTTGCAAAAAAATCTCTTAGAGGCATTGCTAAACTTTTTATTTTGAGTGAAAGAGGTTTAAATTCGTGGTGTGCTTTAAAACACGCCCTGTTAAATGAGTTTCGAACAACAACAAATAGCGCACAATTGCATAAGCAACTTAGTGCTCGCAAAATAAAAAAAGATGAAAATGTGTTTGAATATTTTTATCAAATGAAAGATATCGCATCTCGCGGCAATATCGAAGACGAAGCGCTGATTCAGTATATAATAGATGGAATTAGAGACGGTTATGTAAATAAAATGATACTATATGGTGCAAAGAACCTTAATGAATTTAAAGACAAATTAAGATCATATGAAACAATGTGTGAAAAAAGTAAGCAAGTTAACGATTTTAAACAAAGCGAAAAGAAAAGTTTCTCAACAAATAAAACAGAAGTGAAATGCTACAATTGTGGTGAAAAGGGACATTTGTCCATGAATTGCAAAAATAAAAATCGAGGTACTAAATGCTTTAAGTGCAACCAGTACGGACATATTTCTAAAAACTGTGAACAAGCCGAAAACAAAATAAATACGCGCAGTTTACAGCAAAAAAACAATTTAACTACCAAATCCATTTTTATTGGCAATTTACAGTGCGCAGCCCTATTCGATACAGGCAGTAAATTTAATATAATTCGCGAAGACTTATACAACAAGTTGAATAAGCCTATCTTAGAAAAATGTAACGTATGTTTAATTGGTTTCGGTAGTGATCGCAATTCAAATAGGATTAAACCGATTGGACATTTTAAAAACTTAATTAAAATTGACGATAATGAGTTCATATTAGATTTTTATGTCGTTCCAATTCGGTGCATGGACTTACAAGTGATC